TATTTAGAAGCAATAACTCTGCCTTTTTAAAAATTTTATGTTTGAAGGAATTTCCTTCCCTCTGGACACATTCATCCATTCATTCTAAAAGTATTTGAGGGTCACCGTGCCCCAGGTTCTCTCCTGGACCCCAGAGATACATCCGTGAACAGAGCAGATGTGGTTCCCACGCTCCTTCAGCAGAGAGAGAAAGAGAAATATATAAGCAGGTAGTGAGAAAAGCTCGAGGGACGACAGGGGGCCGGGCTGAAGCCTCTGGGTCACCGGAGCAGAGATGGGGGAACGTCCCTGTCCGTCGGGGTCAGAGGAAGCGGAGAGCGCAAAGACCCTCAGGCAGCAAGCGTGCTTGGCGTGTTCCAGAGGATGAGAAATTCTCTAGCCAGAGAACAGCAGGCATTTTATTTACTGTGACTGAGACCCAGGAGGCTGTAATGCCCACTAAGTAGCATCGTTTTAACCCGTTGCCCGGTTACTGAGTAGGCGGTAATAGATGTCGTGACTCGTGGCTCGTTAGAAGTACGCAGGGCAGACTCTGTTAACGGTGCCGTTGAAAACGCCTTCCTTTGTGGTTGACTTCTGAAACCATCTGATTTCTATTAGCTAACGTCGCAGTGGGTGCAGCTGAACACGTCACCTTAGAGGCGAGATGCTGCGCTGAGGTCCTGGGTTACATACGGCATAGCTGCTTCTGTTACCAGTGCCCTGCTTTATGGAACAGCACCGAAGCGCCATCAGTCTTATGTTGCCGGGGATGTTCAGTTAAGCCCTGAAAACAGAATGTGTTTATTGTAGACGAAGTTTACAGTCATCTGTCTGTTCCCATGTCCGTTCATTGCTGGCCTTCAGAATCTGAGAAAGTAGGAAGAACCTTCTATTGTCACGTTCATCTCTTTACACTTTGCAAACATCTGTGATAAAAACCTTCACCAAAGCCACGTCTTTCTTTTATACTAGGAAATACTTTGTTATTGAAAAGACACTCACAAAATAGGTACAGATGGACACATCTGCAATGGAATATAATTAAACATTAAAGCTCACTTCAGAGGGTTACCCAAAGGTCCCGTGGTTACAGGACAGACCCACTGGGAGCCTCCGAATTATGTCTGAGACTCTACATTCTTAGTGTAGGAGGATCTTTGGGCTTGGATTCCTTCTGAAGATAAGTCAGCACCTCTTAGAAGAATTGCTAGGCGGGGTGCTGTTGTGTTAGAGGCGGGCAGTTTAGGAATGTACGCTTCCTCGTATTTTCCTCGTCCATTTTCCCACGTACCAATACCAGTATGTGTAATAATTACACAGAATGCAAACGTTGCAGAAGATCTGTGGTGTTAGGCTAAGCCGTTTGGAATAGCCACTCCTGCAGGTCAGAATGCAGCTCAGAGTTGCAAGTGGTCCAGCCTAGTGGAAAATGAATGTCTCCCGAAATTCCCATCCCCCCATAGATACACAGCATCACGATTTGGTACACCCTCCTCTTGACTTTAATTTGAAACCCCTGGTCCCCAACAGGGAGCTGAATGTGGAGAGCCCCCCAGCAGTCCACACAGACACCGCAGACACAGGCGTCCGGCACATAGTTCGTCGCCAACCTTTGAGAAGGAATCTGAATTTGCAACAGTTGAGCTCACTTTGTGTGATTTGCTTTGTAGAAATGCCGTGAACCCCTTCAGCGGTGGCAAACTGTTAGGGCTTTTCAAGAATACATCTGTTGTGTGAAACGAGAGACGTGCTGGTTGCTAGTAACTTTTCCGACGGGGAGGCACTGCCCGCTCTCACACCCTAGTCATCACTTAGCACCAGACTTGGCCTCGTGCTCATCTGCCACCCTTCAAGGAACCTAAGGAGCCTGGATTCTGAGTTGTTTAATCATAGCCAGTAACCCACGCTGTGTTCTAGTCTAACTGAAAAAAAAAAAGCCATGTTAAGACTTCAATATTTGAAGTCCCTTTATTTTGCAACACTGTGTCGTCACTTCCAGTTATTTCCTCCTTACAGGCTTTCTGTGCCATTTTAAGAAGTCGAGATCTCTTTTTGCACTAGCTAGCCCTAACCCAGCCTCGTAGGGGGCTGCAGAGGATTCTCTAGAAATCAGGGTGAGCAGTTGGAGCTGAGACTGCGGTCAGGGAGCAACTGTGTGCCAGGGGCCCGAGGGAAGCACAGTGTCTCCTTCCTGGGGCAAAGGAAAGAGGACCAGGGCGAAGGGTGTGCTGTGAGGTGCTGGGATGGGTGGCAGCTTTCAAAAAGGAGTCCTCATTTCATCTTCAGCGTCGCCCAGGGATGCAGAGGTCTTGTCATCACCATATTACACATGAGGAACCCGAGACCCAGAGAGGCGGTGTAATCTGCCCGGAGTCACACAGCAAACGTGGGTAAGGCCATGATTTGATCCAAGCTCTTTAGACTCCAAGTCCGGGGCTCTTACCAGAGTTGCCATTGGTTTATATGATCACTGAAAGTTGCTGAAGGTGGAAACGGTCTTGGGACCATTGAGTCTAAGGGAGAAACAGTCTTAATTGTCTCAGACTAGCATGTTTCAAACTTCAAGCGTGTACAGGAATCACTTTAGGGTCTTGTTAAAAAAGCATGTTCTGATTTGGTAGATCTGGAATGGGGGCTGAGTCTGCCTTTCTGACAAGCCACCGGGTGATGCTGATACAGCTGGTCCACGGACCACACTTTGAGTAGCAGGGATGTAGATCGAGGTACCTTTGCACTGCAGGTTCTTCAGAGGAGAGGCTATTTATTGACCTGGTTTCCCCAGGAGCTGGCCCCATGTCTGGGGCATGATGGACGCACAGATATTTGTAGAATAAACGATACCATATTCTAAACTCCCACATGAGGACCCGTGAGTCCAGGCATAGTTGTGTGCTGAGCAAAGACTCTGTGCCAGGGCTGCCTCCACTAGGCCCTCCTGAGAAAGTGGAGGTGAATAGAAGAAAAATGAGGTACCAGGCACTGAGCCCTTGCTGGGTACCAGTTACTGTGTCAGACGTTCTCACATCCACTCCTCCCGAGAGCCCGGTGGAGAGGCCGGCAGAACCATCCCGTCTTGCAGATTGTGGACCAGAGGCTTGGCGTGGTTAAGGGACTTGTCCACGGCCACACACACAGGGCGATGAGGTTGGGATTCAAGCCTCGAACTCTGGGCCGCCGCTCTCTAAAGAGGAAAACAAACGTCATCAAGGCTGAGAGGGCACCCCACCTGTGGCGGGGGCGGGGGGCTTCTCGGGAGGGTGGCATCTCTGCAGTCCTCGCATCTCCATCCCATCAGCTGCTGCTCAGAGCTGAGCCTCCATCAGCTTTCTTTATGTGGCTGTTCAAGACGAGAGAGATCGAACTCAAGATCTGAGCTTTATCGTTATCAGCAAGGAGGATTACCAGCGGGCTGATACCCTCACATCCGCAGCCCCAGGTGATGTCCTCGCTCCCCTGAATCTCAAGCTTCAGGAGACATCCGGCTTTTCAGTCTCTGTGGTGGGATTCCCGTTTGCTCCCTGCCCCTGGCAGGGCATCTGGCTGGGCCAGGTTGTGTGTGCGTTGCTGTAAGTGAAGGATGTCAGCGCACTCATTCTGACGCCTCCGTGGGTTTGCCGAAAGCTCTGCCCTCAGGCTCTCAGCCTCAGCTTTCTCCCTGGTACATCGATTTTTGTTTGCACTCCTGATGAAGTCTGAATTACATTCATGACGACCGGAGTTCTGTCAACGGCATACGAGCCAGGAAGGGCAGGTCTATTTGTCCTGCTGGGAGGCCGGTTGCCAAACAGTCCATCAAAAAGCTCAGAGGAAGAAATGGTCAGTGTAGAGGTCAGTGCTGCTCTGAAGTCAGAGATCCCAGCCGGGTCTGGGGCCGGCAGGTCCTCGCATCAGAGGAGTGTCCCTGCAGAGAAACTCTTCCCAGGGCCTGGTTTCGGCTTGCCGGCTGGACTAGCCAGGCGGGCGTGGCCTCTGGGGAGGGTCACTGTGTGGCCGACCTACCTCCCTGCGCTTCCCTGTGGCTGCCCCAGCCTGACCAGTGACGGCTTGAGAGAAGGAGCACTGATTACATGAGAACGTCCAAACGTCCAGGCTCCCTCCCACACTGTGGAGTTGAAGTGTCAGAGAAGGAAGGCGCAGGGACAGCTCGGCAATGCCACGTGAGCAGGACCACGGCACCATGGAGGGAAGCCAGCATATAGCGGCGGCCCGAATTGCAGCTTCACACGGGCGGAAATGCTCCTCAGCTGTTTCTAGCACCTCCGAGCAACGGGTCCATTGCATTTGAGTCTTTTTCAGACATTGTTGTGAAGGTCCTGATCAAATAAAGTTAATCTCTTTGTGTCTTTTTTTTTTAGTTAAAGTACAGTGAGTTACAATGTGTCCATTTCTGGTGTACAGCACAATGTCCCAGTCATGCATATGCAGTCATGTATTCATTTTCATATTCTCTCATGAGTTCAACTCTTGGCAAAAAAAAAAAGTCTGTTTTTCTTACTGTGCCTCTTAAAGTAGCAATACATTCTCCCCACAGCCTGTCTCTCTGGGCGACACTTAAGCTGTGCCTCTCCAGAAGACACTCCTCTCCCTGTTTGCATGGGTACAAGTGTCCTTTATGTGGATTAATCTTAAATTGGAAAATCTACAAACAAGAAGAGCATCAGTACACGGTTTATTTCTTGTATCACGTTAACTGTTGCGAAGCCCCATTTTCCCCAAGAAGTTAACTTTTACATCCCAGGATGAGAGTCACCCTTCACTTGACAGAGTCCCATGACTTGATTCTTGGTTACATTATAAAAAGAGGGGTCTGGTGAGAGGTAAGGGCAATTTTTTGCAACTTCGCAAATGTTGCCCTTAGGGTGAGTGTGAACAGAGATTTCATCACCCTCAGATTCCTTTTCTCACCGCATTCCACCTCGCGCCTTCCAGGCGGCATCAAGCTTAGTCAGGAAGTTTTCTGTCACTTTTTACCTGGGGAGAAATGGCTGATTGTTTTCACTTGTGTGCTTTTTGTTTAGAAAGCCAAGCTTGGCCCTGCTGGTAACAAAGTCATCAGTCCTTCTGAAGACAGGCGACCGCCTTCCAACAACCTTGACAGAGTGAAACTCACAGACTTCAATTTCCTCATGGTGCTGGGGAAGGGCAGCTTTGGGAAGGTAAGAGGACCGTAGTCTGTGATGTGGCCCGGCTTTTGCAGACAACATTGGGATCATTCCTGCTCTCCCTGGGGGTTCCAGAGCAGCCCTTTGGGTGTTCCTGCCCCCTGTACAAATAGCTCAGTTGTTTCCTACTTCTGTCATTAAAAACAACTGTATCGAAAAAAGTTACAGAAGGCTCACTGTGTGTCCCCATTTCAGGGTTCAGAACATTGTGGGTGCTCCAGAATGTTAGTTCAACGAATAATTTTCGCGACTAAAACTTATATATTCACTTGTAGTAAGTGATTGCAGTAATTGACAGATACTGATGGGGGAGGGTATAGCTCAGTGGTAGAGTGTGTGCTTAGCATGCACAAGGTCCTGGGTTCAATCCCCAGTACCTCCATTAAAATAAATAAATAAAAACCTAATCCCCCCTCCCGTCCAAAAAAAATAATAAAATAAGGAGAGACCAAAGTGGGTTTCTACAGCAATCAGCCTGTATGTCGACGTTGGCTTCTCTGATCCCACATCTCATGATAAATCCAGGAACTGATTCTGATCCTGCCTTTTTTTTTTTGATTTGGTTCCTAACTTGTGAACCAGCTTATATAGGTCAGTCACGTTTTTGCTCAGAGGATGCTCCTGAAAGATGTGCATAATTCAAGACTAATCCAGATAACGTTGCGTATTCCTTTCGGCAGCCACAATAGCGCCATCGTGTGGCAACAGCCTACAGGGTCCACATCTTGAGAGCGTAGAAATTACACAGCGAGGCGGGTAGGATTTCGTTGGCAGTGATGTGCAGTATTTCAAGATCGGCACATGAAGTGGGACTTTATTGATTTTCTCACATCACGCATTTACAAATCTGAACTGTCACGTGACCTGGTTCTCCTTCCCATCCCCAGTCCCAGACGACTGTGCCGAGTTTTCAGGTTGTCCTTCATGTGTTCTCAGGTGATGCTGGCGGACAGGAAGGGGACAGAAGAACTGTACGCCATCAAAATCCTGAAGAAGGACGTGGTGATTCAGGATGACGACGTGGAGTGCACCATGGTGGAGAAGCGAGTTCTGGCCCTGCTCGACAAGCCCCCGTTCCTGACGCAGCTACACTCCTGCTTCCAGACAGTGGTGAGGACCCTGGGGGTGCATATCTGTGCCCCAGCACTCAGCGTGCCCTCAAAGCTGCCCCTAACCAGAGCGTCCTCAGGGTCTGAGTCCACCTTCCTCCCGTGAGGAAGGTTGGAAAGACATAACACGTTTTTAAGACTTAGAGATACTAAACCGTAAGTCACGGTCCTGGCTTTTTAAGACCGCTGGTCCACTGCATTGGATGGTTTGGGGACTCTATGTCACGAAAGAGTATGTTCTTGTTCAGTGCACACAGCAAGGGTTGGCAGTCTGGCCTGTTTTATATGGTCTATGAGCTCCGAGAAAGGTTAAAAAAAAAAAGAATGCTATTTGTGACGTGAAAATTAGATGAAATTCTGATTTCAGGGTCCATCGGTAGTTTTCCTGGGGTTCAGCCCTGCTCCTTCACTGACCTGGCATCCGCTGTTTTCAGGCTGCAAAGGCAGACTTGAGTGGTTGCAAGATACACACATGAAGCCCTCAAATATTTACTGTCTGGCCCTTCGCAGAAAAAGTTTACTGAACCTTGTCATCTAGTTCAGCTAAATAGGGGAGAAAAAAATTTGCAAAGCGTTAATCAGCCGATTATGGGACCAAGGCCAGGGCCAGGGTCCTGGCGTGGTGCTTGCAGGTAACCTACAAGAAATATAAACACTTAGACCAGAGGGAGATGTTCCCAGAGATGGGCGTTCCCCTCCTCAGCAGGCTGTCCTTTTTAAGGACTCAGTCATCAGTAGCTGTCATTGTTATGATCATCATTGCTTTCAATTTTTGTTGGCCAGAGATTGACTCTCTGTTTTTACGTCTCCCTTTAAAATCTCTCCAGAAGCGCCCCTCAATGCTTTGGAACTTTAGAATCTCCAAATGACAGGGTGGCGGGGCTGCAGAGCCAGGCGCCACCACTGCATGTCAGCCTGGCGCTGGCAGCCCGTCAGCTTCCGGCTCTCAGCAGCTCCCAAGTAGCATAGTGGAGAGGAGAGCAATATGCAAAGAAGAGGGGGAAAAAATCCCAGCCCGGATCCGGTGACTCTGGTTACCCTGATTAAGCTCTGGAAAGCTACAAAGCAGAGAAATAAAATTAAAATTAAAGTTCCTAACAGGAAAGTGAGAGACTGAAGCTTCCAGGGCTGTTTCCTGGCTGTTAGCACCAGCTCCATCATTTTTTTTTCTCTCCCTGTTCGCTACTTTAATGCTTAATAACCCCTGTGAAATGGTGATGGTTTCTGGAAGAGAGCAGAGGTCAGCTTTTACCTTTTGCTGTGCTGTCAGTCATTTCCCTGTTAAACCCCCCCCCAGTCTCCCCATCTGTCCCAGCATAGTGTCCTCATGAATATGCAGATTTTTCTCATTCTGTGATGTTGGCTCTTCATGGGGCCAACACTTAGCGTATCAGCAACGGAGAGAATCAGAAGCAATATTTGGGCATAATATGGATGCAGAAGAACATTGGATCAACCTCTCCAGGTATAGTCCCATCCCCCTCAGTAAATACTGAGCATCTATTGTTTGTAAGCCCAACCTAACTCATGAGATTTGTTCTCAGAAGCATCCAGGCAAACCTATTACTATACATTACTACTACATTGTTCCAAGACCCTGCGGATCAGACGCGCTAGTTAATATGAAATAATTGGCCCTTGTGGATTCTTCACGCCGTCCCTGACTTAGAAATGTGTCCTGGGAAGAACGCTGGAGGCCGTTCCCGTAATAGGCAGCGTACATAACCAGAGGGGCAGACACGTCAGGCTTCCCGAGGCCCTCATGCAATAGCGCTTACTGCTTGTTCTTCATCGGGGTGGGGGCTTGTGGAGGGCCCCACCGAGCAGACCTGCCAGAGCGGCCGGCGCCTTACTAACGAGAAGGCAAAGCCCAGCCCTGCGGCTGGAGGAGCCCGGCTCACGTGTCTCCCCTTGGCCTTCAGGACCGGCTGTACTTCGTCATGGAGTATGTCAACGGCGGGGACCTCATGTACCACATCCAACAAGTGGGAAAGTTTAAGGAACCACAAGCAGTGTGAGTAATTTTTTAAGTCGCTTAGTTTAGACAACACGGGACTCCCAACCTGATACTTCTGCTGGGGGAAGCCTGGAAGGGGGGGCTCTGTCCAGTTTGGGATGAAGCACTGTGACCTCCTGGTGGCAGGGGCGGGGGCAGGTTGATTGACAGGGTCCACCTCAACGTTTCCTGAGAAGAGGTTTATTCTGCTTCCAGTAAATTGGAGAGCAGGTGTCTGTATCCCCTTGCCGCCCGATTCCACCCCCCTTGATTGAGTCATTCACTCACTGAACAACTAAAGGGGCTCTGGGTGACGAGCCTTGTGGAGGGCCTGGCTGCGGAACCGGAGAGGCTGGAAGGGGCTTCAGTGGAGCTGGCAGCGTCAGGTTAAGTTTTCACAGAGCCCTCTGGCCAAGAGGAGCCAGAGGGTGGGAGGGAGGGTGGGGGCTGGTGCAAGGGGGTTATTGAAAGTCTGTGTAGAGGAGAGGAGAAAGAATGGAGCTGTGATCAAGGCTTGATCTTGGAGCCAAAGAGTAGCAAGTGTCTTGGAGAAACATTCTTGAGGAAGAAAACCAGAAGTTGGTGACTGGGGGTAAGGAGAAAGGAACCTCTTTAGGTGATGCCCATTTTTAGGTTTGGGAGGGGGCAGCCATCAAGGTGGAGGTGGTTTGGAGGCAAAGTCACAAGCTCAGTTGGGAAGGTCTCAGTGAGACACATCTTGGATGCTGGGATGCAGGAGTCGGCAGCACAGGAGAGAGACGGAGAGTCATCTGTCCAGAGGAGGGACTTCGATACCTGAAAAATCATCCCATTTTTCAGGGGCCAGGAAGTCACGGGAAACTCAACAGAAGCAAATCTAAACAAACAGCTGTTTTATTCCTTTTATTCCCCTCAATGAGGATGCATAGTGGGCGTGTACCCTGATTAATCAAGTTAGCAAATGTTAATCGGGTTCTGGCCCATGTCCAGTCTAAAAGATAAATCTGAAGCACTTTTGGCGTGTGTGGGATCATCTGCCCTGGGAAGACTCACTGAAGCAGAATAGGGAATTCTTGCCGGGCAAGTTTAAAGCACGTGAAGGAGGGGAGGGGAATTCCATTTTTATTTTTACTCCTCAATTTTCCGAAATGCCTGCCCTTTTCCCCTCTCTCATGTTGTTAGTTACAAAGCATGAAAAGGCTCGGATTATAAAAGAAACTTTTGGCAACACAGAGCTGTCAAGAGCAAATAGCAGAATAGCCACCTTCCATCATGACATAGCAGACAGGTGTCTCGTTTAGAACTATTTCATTGTATTTGTGTTGCCAGAAAGCTTTTTATTTTAAAAATATAGAACAGCATGAAAAATCATGCGACAGTCACCTCTTTTCTCCCCCCTCCACCCCCTCCCTCTCCTGTCAGTCCTCGGAGCCCCCACCCCCACCCCATTAAGAGTTCAGTCCTTAGCATTATGGGTTCTTTCTCTGCTGCTGTAAACACACGTGTTTAAGGCTCCTGGGTGTGATGTTTGCACAGGTACCTTCTGTGGCTTCTCAACTTCAAGGGCTCCTAAACACTATGCACATTTTAAAACATCCTTCAGCATTTGTTTAGAACTTCAGATATTAACCTATCAACAATTTGGAAGTGTGACGGCAGTAAGTAACTGCTTTTTTATTATGAATTATTTCAAAGGGTGCACTCAGGTAGGAATCACGGTGTGTGTCCCACTCCTCCCAGCACTAGCTGGATGAATAAACTAGCTGCAGAGTTCCTCACACCCCATCCTTTGTCTGCCAGGACATAACTGTATTTTCAAACACTAATGTGTTCTGTCCATGACTAGGAGAGTGGAAATCCGCTCCAATCTACCGTAGTCCTGACAGACTCTCCTAGCAGACAGCCACTCTTTAAAAGATCATATTCAAAATTTCTCTTAAGCAGTGCATGACCTGCCCACCCACCCCCAGACAAGAAGCACTTGTTTGCGGACAGGTAGTAATGCTGCTTCATTGGTTTGATTAGCTGTATCATTCCTTGGGGAAGTTGGAGTCACAAAATGGCAGAGTTGGAAGACGTGTATAGGGCGGTGCATTCTCTGACAGTCCTGGCTCTTCCATTCCTGTACATTTTCAGCGCCTGATCTTGAGGGTAAAAAGTACCCCGGAGTCCAGAGGAAGCAAGCCAGCGACCTGACAAGCATTTTCTCTTGCAGATTCTACGCAGCAGAGATTTCCATCGGGCTGTTCTTTCTTCACAAGAGAGGAATCATTTACAGGTGCGTATCAAAGCTCGGCTGCCCGCAGCACGGTTGAGAGTTGTGCTGGACCTCTGGACCTCTGTGGGCTTGTGGTCCTGTGATGAGGACTTAAAACACGGAATTGATAACCCCCGAAGCCACAGAGACCTGCTGGGACCCACCATTCTCTGCAGCCTCCAGGCAAATCCGAACCACCTTGTGATTTCTGGACCTCAAAAGATTTTATATCTCGTTTCTGCTTTCCCCAAGGAAACATGCTTCTCTCTCCCCCGCCAGCGTGTTCCTCTGCCTTTTATTTGGCATGGAGGTCAGGGACCAATGGAAAACTGAATTTCTGTTGTAGATGCTCAGCAGAAGAACACGGGGAGCAGGGGAGAGGCAAGAGGAAATGACTGAATTAAATTCCTCCAGTCGTGAAAGTCTGGCACCAGTGAAGGGAGAATGTCTTCGGTGGTAACTGAAAAGTAATTAAAAGGCCATACAGCACTGGGCAGGATGGAAAGAACACGTATGACCCAATAAGGATGTTCTAAGCCCAGGATTTTGCAAACCTGGTTGTGTGTCTGAGCCTCTCTGTGTCTGGGATCCTGATAAACTGAACGACTGGGATCTCCTCAGACCCTCTCAATTGGAATCTCTAGTGATTCACCTGCCCAGCCCAGGCTGGGAATCACCAGTTCGGTCATTTAGTCATTCAGTCTGCATTTTTTAAGTACCTACTGTATGCTAAGCACAAGTTAGGCTCTAGAGATTGAAAAATAAGTAGATACTAATTCCAGGTCCCCATGCTCCTGGGACCTGTAGCTAATGTGCCACTGAGATGGCAGCCGCTCAGACGCGCCTCTACCTCACCGGCTGCAGAGCAAACCATGTCCTGTTGTGGGAAGGACACTGATGCGCTCCCGCTCTCGTGCAGGGACCTGAAGTTAGATAACGTCATGCTGGACTCGGAAGGACATATCAAGATTGCTGATTTTGGGATGTGCAAGGAACACATGATGGATGGGGTCACGACCAGGACCTTCTGTGGGACTCCAGATTATATCGCCCCAGAGGTAGGACCCCAATTCTCCTTTGTTTCAGTGCTTTCAAACTACAGACACAGCTCCCTCGTGGGACAGAGAGTCATCCGTGAGTCACTCCGTTGATGTGTGTGGAGCAGACATAGAAAAAGAACGCATGAGAGCTCCTCGCGTGTAGTAAGGATGTGTCTCGTCTCATGGAACTTCCGTTTTTGTTACGTGCGTGCAAGGTGGTTGCTAGGGCAACTGTATGTCTTACATGGGCAAACCAATTTCAGGACCACTGTGGGGCGGGGAAGCAGGGGTCTTGCTTGTGAGGGTACTCTTCGTGGAAACAGTGGGTCAGAAGGTGGTTCCGATGATGACTTTTTAGCAAAATCAGAGTGATTTTGTTTGTTCTGTTATTGTTTATTTTTATTGGTGTTTAGCTGATTTACCATGTTGTGTAAGTTTCAGGTGTACAGCAAAGTGATTCAGACATACATACATGCATCTATGTAGATTCTTTCTCAGATTCTTTTCCATTTCAGGTTATTGCAAGATACTGAATAGAGTTCCCTGTGCTATCCTTTGGTTTATCTGTTTTATATATAGTAGTACGTATCTGCTCATCCCAAACTCCTAATTTATCCCCCCATTTCCCCCTTGGTCACCTAAGTTTGTTTTCTCTGCAATCAGAGTGGTCAGTGATCTAAGCGGCACACAGGAGTAGATCGTGGCATCTAAGCTAGGAAGAGCACGTCCGTGTGGCTCTAAGCAGAGTGGCTCCAGGATTTGTGAGTTTACAGGAGCAACCATGCTGCTTCGTCTTTGTTATGACATGTATTGAGCAATCTTCTGCCTATTTCACGAAGCTCCCTGCATGCCAGTGATTGGGTGGGTTATAACCCTGGGTCCCCATGTAGCCAACGTTCTGTCCACACACAGCCCTGCGGATGACAGCGTCTATTCCCCACTGAGGTCCATCGTGGCGGAGGGTGATGGACTCCAAGTTAGACCAACCTTGAGCTCTTTGCAGAGCTCTCCTCTTGTCTGTGGGTGGCTTTACACAATTTATTCAACCTACTGCCTCATGCATTTATCTCTGAGGCAGTAGCAATAGTCCAAAAGACATGAGCTTGGAAATCAGACAAAGGTCGGCTTCGATCCTGACTGTATTATTTACAGGCTGTGGGAACTCAGGCAAGTTACTTAACCTCTCTGAACCTCCGTTTCTACAGTGGCAAGTCAGGGACAATACTCTCCTCCTTGTAGAGTTGCGGTGAGGACTCAACGTGCCTAATACAGTGTTTTGTACCTGGTAAACCCTCAGTCATAAGCAGTATTCCAAAAGCGAAGCTGATTTTCATTCCTTTGTTAAGGGCTTTTTTTTGGCTTATTATATTCTTAGACAGTGTGGAAACAGAGGCTTAGAACGCTTTCTTAGAAACTTTAATTCTGAATTACATGGTCAAAGATGACATGTTATCTTGGATACATAATCTATTGGGGGTTTTGCCCCCTGAGAACTCACACATTAGTATCTCCTGGCATAACATGAGATTAAATAGTCATATTTTTCAAACATGACGGCTAGAGAGATGCTGCAGTACAAAATACAATCTCCGGGTGCAGTATTTATTGTGAAGCCTTCTACGGGCTGACAGGTATTAAACAGGCTGTGATTATGAGCTGTACCAGCTTTGCTGAACACCCACCAGATGCTGTAGAAGCTCGCTGGCAGGGAATGGCAGCAGTTTTAGGAATAAAGGTGGCTTTGAACTTCATCTCCATTAAGACCAGGTCTCCGCTGATCAAACACATAGTGTCCCATGTTCAGTAACACCGCAGCCGTCTGATATCCCCAGAGATGACAGCATTTCACGTAAGTGAAATTTTACGAATAACTGAAGGTTGCTGCCGTTTCTTTTTTTCAAGGCTCCTCACTGTATTAATTTCGTATTGCTGCCCTAACAACCGTCAACCTAGTGGCTTAAAACAATACAAATTTATTATCTTACGGTTCTGGAAGTCAGAAACCCAAAATCAGTCTCCCAGGGTTAATGTCAATGTTGGCAGAGGGCTGCGCTCCCTTCAGCAGCTCTGGGGAGAATCTCTGCCTTTTCCAGTCTCTGGGGATTGTCTGCAGACCCTGATTCATGGTGCCGTCCTCTGTCTTCTGTGCCAGAAGCATAGCATCTTATAATCTCTCTCCCTGCCTTTTCTAACCCTTAGCCTCCAGCCTGCTGCTCATAAGGAGGGTTGTGACTACATGGGATTCACCCAGATAATCGAGACCTATCTCCCCATCTCAAGGTCTTTAACTGAACCACGTCTGAAGAGTTCCTTTTACAGATTCTGGGGATTCGGACGTGCCTGTCTTTGGCGGAGGGGGCATTATTCAGCCTGCCACACTCACGGTGGCCTTCTCTCTAACTACAGTACGTGATAACCTCCCCACTTTCCTCCACCAAGTACACCTGAACATGCTTCTAACATGTCTTGGTAACTCTGGGCCCTTTTTCTTCTTAACTTGAACTCATTTGTGTGTATGTTTCTTTCGTTCTGTGCAACTTGACCACACGTGTAGGTTCACATCTCCACCGCCAAGTCGAGAGGCAGTACGGCTCCGTCCCTGCAGCAGCCCCTCCTGCTGCACTTTTACAGCCACCCCCGCCTCCCTCCTGCCCCACATCCCTGACCCCCAGCAGCCACTGGTCTGTTTTCCATTCTAAAATGCTGTCATTTCAAGAGTGATCTATGACTGAGTCATACGGTATGTAATCTTTTGAGATTGTTTTTCCCCCCCGCTGGGCACTTTCCAGAACTGCAGTCGTGATTGCTGAGCACCGCTCCTACCACTTGGTCACACTGCTTAAATCCTATGCCTTCGCTTCCTCCGCCTGTAAAACGGCCATACTAGTGTCTACCTCATACGGCGCTTGGCTGTAACTTGGAGTATTGTCTGTCGAAAGGCAGGTTGGTCCTGCCGCTGTTACAGTTCACGTGACTCACTTGCCACATTGGATTGGGAACCTCTTGCAGCCTTCTAGAAGCCTCTCCTAGAAGATTCTGGCCATTGCTCTCTTCCTGGTCATTTTGTTCGGGGACAGCAGAGGCTAGGCTGGCCTGCAAAAGACGCTTGGAACTGAGAAGTTGATTGTTATTTAGAAGATTGCACCTGCATGGGGCTGGCCGTGTCACACCAGGAGCCTGAGGACCTGCTGTCAGAGGGAGGGAGGCTGGGAACACTTGTCAGAGAGGAGGATGCTGGGAACACATAGTCAGAGAGAGGGATGCTGGGAACACCTGTCAGAGAAAGGGATGCTGGGAACACTTTCAGTGGAAGGGATGCTGGGAACACATAGTCAGAGAGGAGGATGCTGGGAACACATAGTCAGAGAGGAGGATGCTGGGAACACATAGTCAGAGAGAGGGATGCTGGGAACACCTGTCAGAGAGAGGGATGCTGGGAACACTTTCAGTGGAAGGGATGCCGGGAACACATAGTCAGTGGAATTCTGGGAACATCCTTCAGAAAGAGGGATGTTAGGAAGACCATCAGAGAGAAGGATCCTGAGAATGTCTGTCAAAGGGAGGGATGCTGGAAACACGTAATCAGAAAAGGGGATTCAGGGAACAGGCCGTCAGAGAGGGATTTGTGGAAAATCAACTCTGGGCCTCTGAATACACACGGGATAACATGTTTTGGTTCTGACTCCCCTCAGTTTCTGCAAGCCTTCATCCCTCTCCTTATATCCTCTGTGCAAGCAGTAATACAGGGCGTGCCCTCCACTTATCGGGTATCCACTATGTGCCAGGCACCTGTAGACTTTCTTCTGTTAGTCCTTGTAACAAACCCCGCAGAGGAACATGACGTCGGGCTCGCGTTTCAGATGACGTGCCTGAGGCAGTGAGTAATGGTCTAAGGCCACGTAACTGAAAAATGCCAGAAGCAGGCTTCAACCCCAGGCTCAGGCTGTCTCCAGACCTTTGCACTGCCCACTACACTAAACTACGCAAGCTCTTAGCAACTCACGCATTCAGAGAGCATTCTGCACACTTGCGGTGCCAAGCATGGCTCTGCGTGGGGTACAGAAACAGATCACACCGGAGCCTTGCCCTGGAAGTGCTTGCAGTTTAGAAGAGGTGACACAAACAGGAGCCAAAATCTATATTTAGATCCCAGGTGACTTTCGTTGAAAACTCAGCTACACTCCTTTGGGAACTCAATCGATAATAACTTAGATGGTCTCGCGTTTTGCAAGCATTTTCTTCACAAGGTCCAGGAATGTGGCAGATTTCACCAGAGGAATAATTGCGATGTCGAGAATGACCATCCAGGTTCAGAGTTTCTGAATTTGCTCAGAGGTTGAAATAATCCTGTCGTCTGTGTAAATCTTCCTGTCAGGCAAGGACAAAACAATTATCTCAGATGGCATTTTCCTTAATAGGCAAAGTGAAGGCTTAAATCTTTATGGCTGTTTGTTCAAAAGCCTTGAAATGGATTAATGCTGCAGCCTCTCCTTAACCAGTGAAGATGAGCCAAGGCGGAACATGGCACTAACACGCGAGTGTGGAGTTGAGGTGGACGCCCACGAAAGGGGCTCTAATCAGAAACTGACATGAAGCTGACATGAAGGGGACTCTGCTTTGACATAGAAAGAATCATTCGAGGTCAGTGAGAGTCCTTGAGAAAGCCGAACAAAAGCTTCTTCTGGATTTAATCCCCTGCCTGAAAGTCAGTTATTTTGGGCGGGCGAGATCCAATCACAAGTCAAGTATCTCCCAGCAGCCAAGAAGCAGACTCTGAATATGAGTGTTGCCCACTGTTGTCTGGGAGAGGGGAGAGCAGCAGCGAAAGTGTTTGCCCTCTGCCAGCCCTCCTGCTGCAGCGGGACCGATGCTCTTTGAAAGTGGACGGTGTAGAATCCTCCCGGGCAGACTTACCCCGGCAGGGGTCCCATTAGACCACAGGTGGAGGGTGTCACCCATCACGTAGGGACTGTCTACTCCGTACCAAGCCCTCTGAACTCGTCTTCTGATTTGTCCCA